ATCAAAACTACTTCCAATTATCCATCCTACATTCCCATGTAATGTATGGTATTAATTTCTTGTTCTTTTCTGCTCTTAGTGCAGCAAATGATCGAAAATCAATTGGATTCTAATTCTCTACCTACAATTGCCAAAGTCAGCAAACTTAATTCAAATTTAGTTTTTAAAGGTTAATCAATTCTCTTCTACATCTTACCTAAGTAGGTGGCGATAAATGATCAAATTTGGACCCAGTAGCCTGTGAAGGACCATCAGCCTCTGAAAGACCAACAGCCTGTGAAGGACCACCAGGCCGTGAAGGAGCAACAGTTTGTGATGGCGGAAAGCCTATAGATGCATACTGCTGGCTAAGTAATGCAATATGCTCTTGAAATCTCCTATCAAAAGCAACCTCAAATTTTGAAACTCTCTGTGATACCTCTGACTGAATACGTGCAGTCTCTGATTGTACTCGCTCTGCCATTTCTTCCCGAACTTGTGCGAGCTCAGCCTGCAACTGATGGACCTGCGTCGTAAGCATCCTGGTGGTAGAGGACGAGGCCTCACTAATCTCATATCGTCGCCATGGTATGCCATGCTTTGCTGGGTCCTGAAGTGTGGACAATCCTCTCATCTGACCCTTTTTAGGGGGTCCGACGACATCCTTCCATATTTCTGGATCCCATCCTGGCCATACCTCCTTGTTTGGCCCATGCTTTTCCACATACTTTTGGTGAGCAGCAGTCTATTTCAAATATAAATTTTCATTAGTTAGAATAATTTAAATGGTGTTAATATTAATTATAATAAATATCATCAAGAAATTTGGTACTTACATATGTCTGCTCAGCTTCTGGACACACCCAAACCGGTGTTGCATCTTCTTGACCTTCAGGCCTGCGAGTTGTGTGAGTATACAAATACGTCTCTAGCTGTGATGGCCTAACTCCCCCTCGCTTGGCTGCCTGTTCAAAATGAAAATAATATTAATAAAATTAACATTTTATAACATTCAGCATTATATATAAAAGTATACATAAAAAAGCCACATAATACTAACCAACCGATCTTTATGTATCCCCCATTGAAATGCATCCAGTCGTGTGAGTTACACGGGGACCCTTTGCTCGGTTTAGTCGACCCCTCTCTTGTAGCGCCATATATTGTGGGCTTCGCCACTTTGCTAGCAATATTTTGAATGTCTCTCTATGCATGAACTCAGGTAATTTTTTGTAATTTTCCCATTTCTTTCGAATTACATACAGCTCATCCCGAAAACGGTTCCGGCAGTGCTTTCTCCAAATTCTATATACACGAGCATCATCTTCCTCCCACCAATATATCTTCTGCAATATTAAAATTAAGTAAATTTTAAAATTCATGGTCCAACAAGAAACTTTTAAAAGCCTAAAGGGGCATTTAAGTGATGAAATATTCCAAATTTCGAGTTAAACAAGTCCCAAACTCTATTGCCTCGTCACAGCAAATTTAAAGTTAAAAATTAAGTAAACAACTATAAAACTTAAAATATTTTTTTAAAGTAATACAATATATGATAATATTTTTTTCACTTTAACTTATGTCATGTACCCGCCCACTCAAACTCATGAGTTCATGTTCTATTGGAAAGGTGATTATTATTCTAAACTAATTAACTCCTTTGAGAAGGTGCATAAATTATTAACAACTAATTTTTAAATTCAATTGTTGAAACTTGAAAGATGGTTCTAAAAACAGCCGAAGAAATTAAAGATGATGCTAAAACCAGCCAAACCCACAGAAAACAAACTTAATAGGACGTGATGATAATAGGACATACATAATGTAAACAAAGCAGCAACCTTAGTGGAGTATCAGAGCACGAAAAAGGTCAAGAATGATGTGAACGTGCACAAGGATATGGTAAAGCTTGAGGTGGATGAAGAAAACCCAGATCATCATTTGGTTTCTTTCATTTTTGATGCCCTATTTGATGGGAGGTGAGCAATTTTGATTTTGCGTCCTGTGATTTTGTTTTTCAATTGCTGGGGTTGAATTTTTAAGATTGTATTTTTTACTACGAGGTTGCTTGTCCTTTGGTTTAGTTTTGATTGACAACTAAGATTGCACTAGAATTGAAATTGAAGTATATATCTAGATTGAAAAATTTCTAATTCTTGCTAATGATGGAAAATATTAGGAAAGGAGAAAAGCTTTAATCTTGCACTTCAGAGCTGATATAACCGTTTGGCAAGGTGGTAAAACTGAAGGATTTAAGATTTTCCTGGTTTTCATTTGAAAAAAAAAAAAAAACAAAGGCTTTTTCTTTTGTAACAATGAAGAAATAAATTTTAAGACATGGCCATGGCTTTTTTCTCCTTAGAAAGCAAAGACGTTAAAATCCTTGAAGTCTGGGAATCAGGTTTGGGGGAATGGCACAGCCAACTTTATGTAAACAGAGGAGGTTATTTTTTATGGTTAATGCAATAGCTTCTGTAGCTCAATTCAACAACTCAAGCTGTGAACTTTAGATAAAAATTAGGAACTTTAGATTCTTTGAAGGAAAATGATTTCAAAATGAACATAAGATCTTGACTTGGAGTTCCTTCTAATCTTAACTTTGAAAGGCAGTGCATGGGCATTGTTGGTTCTTATAACTTTGTATAGAAATTTGGTTGATTTTAGACAGGTTTTGGTGATTGAACTTGGGGACCAAATTGAGTCTTCTTTTAAGCCTTACTTAACAAGGGGTTCTACACTTTAGCATGCTTGTCACTGCCCTTGTTAGTACTTAGCTAAAAGCAACACATCTTGATGTTTTTTCAAGTTGTCCAAGGACCACTACCAACTCACTGTCTGTAACTCTACTCTTTACCCATAATAATGTGTT